ACCTCCACTCGGGACACACCACTCCCTTCTTCCTCGTTAAGGACGAGCGAACACTAACGAGCAACGAGACTCCGAAAGGATGAGTATGAAAGGTCTCTAACAACAAACCCCTCCCCAGCCAAACAGCCAAGCTGACAGCCAGCCCAGCCCTCGCCCTGCAGAGCTCCCAGCCTGCTGGGGAAGATGCTCCTTCAGTCACCAATAATGTTCTTTTCATAAAGGACAAATAAATAACAAATCCTGGGTGAGAGCTGAAATGTCAACACGCGTGATTCATCACTGCCTTCATCAGCGCTGCCGGTTCAGGAGAGAACCCCACTCTCCCAGATTACTTCCCTGCCATCAGCTCACCCAGCATCGTTCCTGAGCAGCACCAGGGCCCCGGATCCGGCGTGTGGAGACCTGTCTGTGCGGGAACAGTAACGTGAACTCACCGGGATCCGGCGTGTTCCTCAAGAATCTACGTGTGCCTCTGTCAAATCAGCTCTTAAGGATTCCTACCTCGGGTTAAACTTGATGTAACTCTGAATAACTCTCACCTTCGCAAAGCAGTGGGTTCGGTGGAAGAGGAAGGGAGGGAAAAAAAAAAAGCCACTCGAATTTTAAATTCAAAAAAAAAAAGCAATGTTTTTAGTAAATAAGCCCTTCGCTCCGAGAAGGAAAAAAGCTTATAAAATATCATAAAAATGACTGAGGAAGCAAAACTTAAGAGCAAGGTTTGCTTTACGCAGAAGGCACACAAACCCAACCATTACACACATTTTATAAAAGCCATGAATAAGTAATGATTCCTTTGAAATCAAACAATGACGCAACGTGGCACAAACCCAAACTTGAGTCAAATAAGCACAAGGTACTTTTTATGTTTTATCATTACTAATTAATGTTCTCTTCCAGAGGGTTTTTTTTTTTCCCCGAGATGGAGCTTCTCACGCCACAGCATAAATTCTGTTATTCGACAAATTTTGGAAAGATATGGAATAAGTGCTGGCCAGGAAGAAATCCAGAGTGCTCAGGGAACTCAGATTATTCCAGTATTTCTCCTCCTGAGGAGCTGAAACTCCACCATCCCATTGCCACAGCACCCAGAACATACAGCATTTTTATTCTCAACCCAGTAAAGTAACTTTAACTTCTGCTCTCCATCAGAATCCCACAGCCAATTCCACCCTGAATTCCTCTCCAGTGTTTCCAGCATCCTCATCATTAAACTAGATCCTTTCCTCCCACACTGCTGAAGTAGAACCTCAAGGAACTCTATTATATGGGACAATTCCAAGGCTGGGCTCTAAATTCTCAATTCCTCCCTTCCTAAGTACACAAAACAAGCTACTACCTCCTCTAATTAATGTAGAGTTTGTATTTAAATTAATTACTTTTTAAATGAATGTAAACCAAACAACTACATTTTAGCCCCAATACAATAATGGGGCTGGAATCATTCTAAGTGACATAACTAGAATTTGATTTTTCAAAGCTCATAAAACCCAGTAGGAAAATAAACCAGAGACGAATGGTCCAGTTCACTGGATCAAATATTTGCAGGTGCAGTGAGCTCCAAATGCTAATTTACCTCCAGTGAGCACATTCTCCACCTTCTCCAAGTTCAAATGAACGTGTCATTCTGGGCTGGTTTGGACTGGGATGGAGTTAAGTTTCTTCACAGTAGCTCATATGGGGCCTTGTTTTGGATGAAGACAACCAAGCACAAGAGTCAACCAAGCAGCAGGCTCAGTTCTGCTCCCACTGATGGTGTGGAAACCTCCCCCAGCCCTTACTGGTAATGTCACCATGTCCTGTGTCACCACAGAGCTTGGGCACGTCCTACGGATGCTGAAAGAATTCCTAGAGGTTGGCACATATTTATCACCCTGAAATTACTGATGGGGCTGATCACGAGGGTTATAATCAGCGACATAACAAAGGCTGGAAGACTGTATTTGTGTAGGACTAAACATAAATAAACCACGTCCACCGTGAGGTGCCATCCTAAGGCTTTGTGCAACGCTCCAGACATGAGTTCCCAGCTGGCATCAACCACTCAGAGCTCAGGGCTGCCAGGAAGGACAGAGCAACCACTATTTCCCACCCCTGCATCCTCCTCCTGCCACCCTCCTGTCCCCCAGGTCAGGTTCAGTTGATTGATCCAGCGAGAAACGAACTCCACAAAATAAAGAGTGGTCGTTCACCCAGCTCAAGGGTTTGACACGGGACCAGAGAGAGGGTGGGTGGGAGAACAGGGAGGAGAGGTCACTGACTCAGCACCAGTCCTTGCCATCAGCTCTGTCTCAGCAAGAAACGACCCTCAGAGCCATTTGCTCGCCGGGATGTCAAAGGAAATCATCTTGCCACGTCTGCTCGAAAGGAAATTCGTCCTCAAAAGTCGAAAAGAGTCAATGTGTATACGTGAAAAAGACAAGAAAGCAGGACATTGTTTTTGTAAAAAAAAAAAATCTGAAAGCAAAATATTTTTTTTAATGCTGCACCACGTGAGGTTACAGGTGTTACCAGCTCAACCACCTCTAGAAAATGTAAACTGAGATAAAACATAAAGAGGCATAATCCTTCTCTTTTTTTAATGAGAAAAACCATGCACTAAGCTGGGAGAGTCACAGGTTTCTTTTTTAATATGCCAAGGCATTGTTTTTAGAGTTTTCTGGCTGCCTTCTTATTGTTTTCCTTTTGCTACCTAATAAAAAGACACAATATACTATCACAAATTTTAACAAGCATCCTGAAATTAAACAAAATATAAGATTATAAACTAACGAAGATATACCATAAATAACTTCATACATCACAAAGCAGGCCTTGCATTAAATTGTTCTTCTGGAAACTTATATATGAACCCAAACCTGAAGAGCTCACAGACTACATAATGCTGTGTGTGACCCACACTTGGGCCTTACACAGTTTGCATTTGTGGCCATTAATATTGATAAAGGAGAATTTGCAAGCAGGAAGTTAGGGATGCTTGTCTGTAATGTATTAAAAAATTCATCTTTTAAAAATTCCCTGCACATACCAGGCACGCTCACGGATTTCTCAACATCAACATATATATCACTGGTTTCCAAAGGTTTAATTGAAAGTAAATGTAGAATATGTGACCTGAAATGTTAAGAGGTAACTTAGTACCTTAGAAGACATATTTTTGGTCAGAATATGTATTTCAATTAAAAACAACCAAGGATCATGGGAAAACCAATGGAAAAGACAGAGAGATGAGACCAAGACAGGAACTGCCACAACACAATCAATACTGATAAGGAGTTTATTTTCTAAAATTATATTACTCAGCCAATTACACTGAATATGTAACCAGTAATTCACACTGTAATTACCAGTCTACACTGCAGGCCAGTCTGCTCCAAGATTCTATGACCACAGCCAAGATCCAAACAGGACACGACCCTGCCACTCCTCTCCACTCCAAGGAAATCAGGGCTAATTTGGAGTACACAGAGTCTTTTGCATTTATGATGCCCTCAGCACGAGTTACTACAAAAAGAAGCCCAACTCTAAGTAGGTTGTTTATTTTCTTAGAAGACCCAGAGTCATAATGGCCACAGACCTCAAACTGTTTAAAATCTTCACCCAAGCACTACTGCGTTTTTGTTCCACCTGATAGTTCCTTTGCAAAGCCAAAAAATGAGATTTTGACGACGGCAAGTTGCAATATATTGTATTTTCTCAATTCGACTGCAGGGCCATCACGCATTTCCTAGATAAACATTCCTCCACACCAACTACCCATGATCTAAGGTGTCTCTCCCCACCCATAAAAAGCCTCATGTGACCGCAGCCAGCAAATCCTCTTCAATACATTCTCACCGAAAGCCACCTATTACACCAGCTCCTTTTTCCTTTCCGATTCGCACCTCGGCAGTGGATGTTTCCAGGTCTGATATTCACGTTTTGAGGACCAGATAAGAAAAACAGACAACACCCACCCCCGAGCCCTTGGCAGGAACCATTCCCGGCTCAGCCTGAGCTGTGCTGCAGGCAGGGTCTCCTGGCCATGTTGTTGTTCTCCATGGCACGTTCGCCGTATTCCTTCTCCTCCTCCCAACCCCAACGTGAAATTTGCCTTCTCCCCTGTGCCGTGGCTCCGCCGCACTCCCCAGCACCGCTAAATAACCTTCGCGATTTATTTAAATCCCCCAGGTGCTCCCTTTTTCCTCGCGCTTATTTTTCACCTGTGTAAAAACCCCGCGCCGAGGCATCACCCCCTAAACGAGCTCGCCAACATCGCCTCCCGAACTTCCCGACACAGACAGGGGGACGAGGAGCTGCCTTTTCCTCGCAGAACGCCCCATCCCAGCTCCGTCTGCCTCATCATCATCTCGCATGGCTCTTTTGCATCTTAGCCCCCAACAGCCAACCCACGCGTGTAACAGAGAGGGATGCGGTGTGTCATTAGACTCCACACACGCCTTACTCACCCCTCGGGGGGGGTGTTCGGGGGAGGGGGTGCCCGCAGAGCGGGGGGCGAGCGCGGGGCGTGTTGGCGCTCACGTGTGCGGTACCTGCGGCACCTCCCGGTAAACACGGGGCGAGGGCCGGCGGGGACGAGCCCGGCGGTTCCGCAGGGCGGGATGAACCCCCGACCCGCCGGCCCCGCTCACCTCCGCGCCGCTCTCCGCTTCCAAACGAAACGGGCGGCTTCCCATTCAAAAGACGGGATTTGGGGGGGGGGGAGGACACGACTCGCAACCGACCGCGCCTTTCCCGGCGCTCGCCGCATCCCGAGCGGTGTCAGCGAGGCACCCCCAGCCCCGGGGGATGGGCGCGGGGAGGGACCCCCCACCCCGCCCCAGCCCTTCCCCCGCCCGCGGGAGGGGCACGGGGGGGTCTCGCCGCGAACCCCCCCCCCGCGACCCCGACACATCGCCGGGCGTCGCCCGCTCCCCCCGAGCGTGTCCCCCCCGCAGCCCGTACCCACGGGGGGACACCCGCACGCTCCCACTCGCCCCCCCCGGTGCCCCGCCGGTCCTTACCTGGCGCGGGGGGGGGGGGCTCCCGGCGGCCCCTCACCGAGCGCGGCCGCTCGTCCGTCCCTCCCTCCCTGCTCGCCTCGCTCCTCTCACCGCATCGCCGGGAGCCGCCGCCGCCGGGGCGAGCGCGCGCCCGAAGGGGAGGGGACCGGCAGGAGAAGGGAGGGGAGGGGAAGGGAGGGGAGGGGGGCGGCCGGGCTCGCCCCTCCCCGGCGGCGCCGCCGCGGCGGCTCCTTCACCGCCCGCCCGCCGCAGCGCCCCCTCCGTCCGTCCGTCCGTCCGTCCGTCTGTCTGTCCGTCCGTCCCTCCGTCCGTGCCCGCCGCGGCCTCCCCGGGGAGCGCCCGCCGGCCACTCCCCCCCCCCCCGCAGCCCCGCTCCGCTTCCCTCGCTCGCTCGCTCCGAGCGCGCCGCCGCCTCTTCCGCGGGAGCGCGCGCGGAGGGCGGGGCGGGCGGGGACGGGGGGGGTGGTGGGAAGCGGCGCGCGCGCCCCCGCGGCTCCCTGCGCGCTCCCGCGGCTCCCAGCCCCCTCCCACCGCGGGCGCACGGGGAGGGGGGCGTGGCCTAGCGCGTATTCATGAGGTGGGCGTGGTTATGCAAAGCGCGCGGCGCGCGCCCCGCCCGGGCGCGACCTGCGCGGGCTGGGGGGGGGGAAGGGTGGGCGCTGCCGGGGCCGCGCGTTCCCTTCCCATCTCTTCCCATCCCTTCCCATCCCTTCCCATCCCTTCCCATCTCATCCCTTCCCTCCCGTACCTGGCGCGGCCGCCGCGGTCACACCCGCGATCGGCCCCGGGCGGCAGCGGGGGAGCAGCGCCCGCGCCCGGCGAACGGGAGAAACTCGGGCGGGCCCCGGCGGGGATGGAGCGGGGATGGAGCGGGGATGGAGCGGGGATGGAGCGGGGATGGAGCGGGGAGCGCGGCGGTGGCGGGCGGGGAGAGGCTGGACGGGCCCCGGGGAGAGGCTGGACGGGCCCCGGGGAGAGGCTGGACGGGCCCCGGGGAGAGGCTGGACGGGCCCCGGGGAGAGGCTGGACGGGCCCCGGCCGTGGACGGGCCCCGGGGAGAGGCTGGACGGGCCCCGGGGAGAGGCTGGACGGGCCCCGGGGAGAGGCTGGACGGGCCCCGGGGAGAGGCTGGACGGGCCCCGGCCGTGTGCAGCCCAGGAAGCCGACGGTAGCCTGGGCTCGTCCCCAGCAGGGCCAGGGAGGTGGTTCTGACCCACTCAGGTGAGACCCCCCTGCAGAGCTGCCTCCAGCTCTGGGTCCCCAGCTCAGGAAGGACATGGAGCTGCTGGAGAGAGTCCAGAGGAGGCACCGAGATGGTCAGACGGGTGGAGCAGCTCTGCTGGGGGGAAAGGCTGGGAGAGTTGGGATTGTTCAGCTTGGAGGAGCTTCAGGGTGACTGTGGCCTTTCAGTGTCTGAAAGGAGCCGACAAGAAAGATGGAAGAGAGACTTTACAGGGATCTGGAGTGGCATGACAAGGAGGAATGGCTTCACACTGACAGATGGGATATTGGGAAAAATTCTTCCCTGTGAAGGTGGAGCACTGGCACAGGTTGCCCAGGGAATTTGTGGCTGCCCCATCCCTGGAAGCATTCAAGGCCAGGCTGGACGGGGCTTGGAGCAACCTGGGCTAGTGGAAGGTGTCCCTGCCCGTGGCAGAGGGGTTGGAACGAGATGATCTTCAAGGTCACCTTCCAACCCAAACCATCCTGGGATTCTGTGAGCTGTGGGAAGGGCGCCCTGCAAAGGAGGAAACAGGAGACACTTCCCAGGGGCAGCTCTGCGGGCCCTCAGGTGGCCCCGGGCTCTGTCGGTGCCTGTGGCAGGGCTGAGACACCTGAGCTGCCTCTGAGGGCTGAACCTGCCCCTGCAGGGACCTCTAGGCCAGGGCTGCCAAAGGGATGTTGGGCACAGCCACATCCCGAGGTGATGGAATGGGATGGCCCCGGTGCCCTTGTGCTGCTCCAGGCACCTCTGCTGTGACAACCCCCCCACTGCCTTCCGCTGCTTCTGCTTTAAAAAGGACACTTCTGGGAATAATACCTGGAAACCGAAACGTTTTACTCCTCCTCCCCTATGAGAGATCAGACACAGCTGAAGACCAGGACAAAAGGAACACGCAGGAAATGCTGTATTATGTGTTAAAGCTAACATAAACATTTACTTAAATTACCTCAATAGCATAAGGTACACATTGAAACCAGCAATCCAATCAGCATCTTGGCATTGCTTAATTGGCCACATGAATGCTGACAGAAATTTGGTTCTCTCTTCAAACTAGAAATCAACATTATTTTTGCTCAGCAAAGTATACGTGGTAAACAGAAATTTGTTTATTTATCTGGGTATTTCCCTTTAAGAAAACTAATATTTATGTCTTAGTCAAGAAAATAATCTTTTTAGTCCGGTACAAAATGTTCCCTTTAATTAAATTAAAGTATCTCCACTCCCATGGGATGGATGCCTCGTTAAACCTCCTGGGTGCAGATTGCTTGCCTCCATCTCACCCCGGAATGGTAAAGAGCTTTACATCACATCTGCCCACAGTGCCAAATTAATCACCAAATAAATTAAGCAACAGGGTAATCTTCGGTCGTGAGTCAAGAAAATGACTTGTACAAGAAATAAACTGCAAGAGAAAGAAACCTACCTGGGAAGCGTTAACAAAAACAGCAGCACTGGGTTGGGGGGGTTGTGTGTTTGTAGGAGAGGTGATGAACAAGATGCCAAGCTTCTGGAATTGATCTTGGATCAGGGTGAGTGCAGATATATCCCCCCCATCATCTGTCAGTGCAGTCACTGGGTTTTGCCTTCCCAGGAGAGCAGCACCTCAGCAAACAGTGCAACCAGCACTGGAACAACAAATTACAGGGGGGAAATCTTCCAGGAATATTTCCCTCTAAATCTGTAGCCTCCTGCCTCTCTCATTACTTCCAGCACAAATGCTTTCTGGAATTGTTTATCTTCTGCTGCCCTTTAGTCTTTTTAAACCACATGGACTGAGGGGATCTCATAGCCAGAATAATTCCCATTTTTCCTTCAGCAACTCATTAGCATAGCAAATCACTGACTGTGCACAGTTACAGCTCCAAGGAGGAATAATAGTTCCACCTACAAGAAAAATATTCTCAGAACTGATGTCAACTGCTTATATCTGTATCCATGTCATTCCTAAGAAAACAGATTTCAAGGCACAGGTTAGTGAAAGGGAGGGAGGATCTGGTGCTTCCGGTACAGAGCTGAGAATCCCAGAATCACTGAGGTTGGAAGACACCTCCCAGAGCTTTCAAGCCCAACCTCTGCCCAATCCCCACCTTGTCCTCCAGCCCAGAGCACTGAGTGCCACGTCCAGTTGTTCCCTGGACACCTCCAGGGATGGGGACTCCACCACCTCCCTGGCCCATCCCAATGCCTGACAACCCTATTTGTGAAGAAATTCCTCCTGATGTCCAACTTAAAAGAAGTCAAAGGGAATGAGATAATGGCAAAAGACCAGCTTCCACATGAGAAGAATGAAGCCAGGGTGTCAACCAAGTTATTGGTGTCCAGCCTAAACCTTGTGTTAGTCACAGGTGAGAGCTCCAGCGGAACCATCCAGGGCGCATTTCCCACCCTGCCCTGTCTGGCCGTGGCCAAAAAGTGCACAGGCAGGGGTGTAAAAAGGTTATCCAGTGTCCCCTGATAGTGTTTGGGGCTTTAGGACTTCCTGAGGCACGTGGGACTCCCAGGTATGGATGCTTCCCACGCTGGCTCCATGTACCGGTGTAAGGTGGTCAAATCACCCCTTGGGTTTGAAATCCTGAGGGAGAGGACTGAGAAGAAATCATCCGTGTTCTCCACTGCTGACAGACACCCCTGGGCTTAGCAGGGAGCCAGATCCTGCTGGAACACGAGGAGTTTGCTCTGGGACACACGGAATGCTGAGCCCCTGGATCCAGCTGTTTGCACTTCCTTTGGAATACAGCAGCAACCTGCCCACAGTGCTCTGAGCTGGAGTCAGTCCCTGCCTGGGCACCAGCACAGCTACAGGTATTTCAGGAATATCAGCACCAATCACCTCCAGCATTTAAAGCCTTTGAAGATTCACTAAGGTCTGAAGGTGTGAGGAGGGAGTTTCGGGATCACCATTCCAACTTGGGACCAGAAATCCAATCCGAGTTCCTTTTCGGTCACATCCCACACCCCGTTAGATCTCCCCGTTACAACCCCTCCTTCAAACGGCTCTTTGGTGAACCTGGGAGCCAAAAACTTCCCATAAAACCTCAGTCAGCTCTTCGTGTTTGTACTGCAAACTGCCACGGGGTTTGCACAACAGCAAAGGCAAAATTTGGCTGTAATAAACAAGATGTTGTCTCTTAAACAGCCAGAATCCCTCCAGGAAGCCATAAAAACACTCGGTCTCTTTAAATCATCTGTACCACCAGATCATCTCCCAGATCAGCTCTATTAAGTGTGACCGTATAAAAAATAAATACTGCTTAGAATATTTGTTAGCTAAGAAATATTTGCCTGTGGAGAAAATATTCCAAGTGTAATCCCGTAAATGTGAGATACTAATTTTCTTCACACTTCAGCAGTCTGAGGGAACACAGGGCCTGCCATCCCCTCAGTAACTAATGAAAGGCAAGTTATTTGTGTAGCCTGGGGACCTCACAAATAGATTGGATTTTATTTTTTTTTTTTTTTCAGGAGAAAAGGGAGATTTCTGTTTCTCTGGCTGTTTCATTTTAATTTTTGCAATTTTTGGCAAGAGCACCTTGAACTGGGGATGACTGACTGTAGTTTGTCTAAAGCTAGATAAATGTGTGCTTTATGACCCTTCTCCCACCACCAGCATTGCATTTTAATGCCAGCATTACCCTTCATCTCGGTAACAGCTGAAATTGGGGCTTGCTAACAGCTCCAGAGAAGGAAAAAGAGTGATGGGATGAGTATAAATAGCTTTATTTTCCTGTATACACCTGTTTTGGAGGGACCAGGCACCATGAAAGGAACTGCTTTTTGGGAAACTCAGAATTTATACCCAGGTTCTGGTTCTTTCAGTAGTAGCAGACGACAGAGACAAAACTTTTCGTGCTTGCAGAGCTGTGTGTCCTGAGAAATCCGTAGAACCAAACCCAAAACTCCCTGTGACCCTGAGAACTTGCCTGTTGAGGGCTCTGCAGAAACAAAGAGGCCACAGCACACTCAGACCCACCCCAAAGAGTCCTCCCTGCACAGGAAACAGCTCCCAGCCATTCCCACTTCCCCCCGCAGCAGGAGGGAGCAGAGGAAAAAGCCACGGCCTCAGACAGAGGTAAAAAGCTCTTGGCCAAGGGATGAGCCATGAGCCAAGGTGTGTCAGAGCAGGACGTTGCTGACCTCCTGGGGGATTTAATTCTGTGGGATCAGAGGCCTCTGTGGAAGGACTTTGCCCAGTGGCCTCAAGAAATTTTCAGCAAAAACAAATGACCTGGGGAAATCGTGTTACACGGGGTGTTGGAGGTTGCTTTGGTAGCAGCAAGTGCTTTGCAGAAGGATGGTCACAGCCCCTCTCTACCCAGCGTTTCCTCCTGCTCTGAGACTTTTCAAACACTGCCTGATGCTTTCTCATGTTCCTTTTTCCAAAACAGGCAGCGGAGAGTCCTTAATCCACCAACCCAACACACACAAATCACTGCACAGTCGTGTCTGTTTAAAAGAAAACACCAGTTCTTACAAGAACATCATTGCATGTCAAACTCCAATTGCAGTTTTGAAAGAGAGGACATTTATGCAGATCATATAATTTAGCAACACCACCAGTCTCACCACGTGCTGCCCTCTCTGAAGTTTAAAGCCTTTCCCTCTTGTCCTGCAAGGGCACGGAGGGATAGGACAAGGGGAAATGGCTTTAACCATGGTTAAATGGCTTTAACCATGGCTTTAAGGGGGTGGATTTGGATTAGATATTGGGAAGAAATCCTTCCCTGGGAGGGTGGGGAGGCCCTGGCACAGGTTGCCCAGAGAAGCTGTGGCTGCCCCTGGATCCCTGGAAGTGTCCAAGGCCAGGTTGGACGGGGCTTGGAGCAACCTGGGACAGTGGAAGGTGTCCCTGCCCATGGCAGGGGGTGGCACTGGATGGGCTTTATGTCCCTTCCAACCCAAACCATTCTATGATTTTCCTCTTGAGAGGCAATGCAGGAGCTTTCATGGTTGCATGTGACCAAGGTAACACTCTGACTGAAATACTGCCCCTCTGGCACAGGTAACCCCATCAGAGGGCAAACAGCCCTCAGCTGTGAACATCTTTGTAATTGGACCTTCTGCTCTGCTCCTGTCACAGAATTAACATGCTCTTTGTAGAAAAAAAGACCAGAATTCATATATTCACTAGACCAGCTTGCAGTATTTCCCCTTTCAGTTGTGGCAGGAGCAACTTAGCTCAGTCTGTCTGAGTTCAGGAGTCACTGGGAAGCTGCAAGCAGCCACCACACCAGCGGTCACTGGGGTAGGAAAAGCTTCACACCATGTTCTGCAGCTCTGGCACAGCTATTTATAGCCTCTGTGCAGTGGCTACTGTAAGGATTTGGGATTACATGTGATGTTTATAGTCCTGGATCAAGATAAAGATACACTGGGAGCAGCTGGAAACTGCATTTCCAGTTTGTCTGCGTCCAGTAATTAAAATTCCAGCACATTATCCTTTGTAATTTATGTTCCAGGGTTCTGGAAGGATACTATATATGGACTGTGCTTTGCTGTGATGGTCTCGAGGCACAGGCAGGACAAGCCTCACTGGCAGGACAACTGTTATAGCTGGAAAAATTAGAAAAGCTTTGCTGGTTGTTAGTTTTTTGGGGGTTTTTTAACTTTTGCTGCTTCTGCAGAGTTCAGACAAATTTGCACCCAAAAAACTCCCCTCACTGCTCTTATTACTCCAATTACTGCTACTAATAAATCCTATCCAGACTGAAGCACCAGAAATAAAGATGTTTCTGTTATTTGTTGTCAGTCCCACCTCTCCCCTTGTTTCTCCAGAGAAGGAACATGTTTAGCCCAAAGACAACACCTTCAGGTGGGTGTAAGGTCGAGAGGAGGGAGGAGAAACTGTCCCGTTCTCTGTGACTGCAGCGAGCAGGACAAGGGCTTAAAATGAACAGGGATGATTCCAATTGGAAATCAGGACTGATTTTCTGATTGCAGGAATAGTTAAGCATTGGAATAGCCCGTGTGTGATGACAGATGCCACCATCCATGGAGACCTGCAAGGACAAGGAGCATTTGGGTCGGAAGGGACCTTAAAGATCACCTCGTTCCACCTCCTGCTGCTAGCCCAGGTTGCTCCAAGCCCCATCCAACCTGGCCTTGGACACTTCCAGGGATGAGGCAGCCACAGTTTCTCTGGGCAACCTGTGCCAGCTGGACCTGATTTGGGGCACTGGGGCAACAACTGAGGGATTCCTCATGAAATTCATGGAAACAGATGCAACCCCTGAACCGGAGCAGCAGCGTTTTGCACTCAGGGTGAAGCAAGACACAAGGACTGCTGCGAGTTACTGCTGTCTTGAGCTTTTCAGGTAGATGGAAAATTACTCACTCTAAACATTTGTCCCAGATAATTGTGAATATGTCATTAAAACATTCAACTCAGAACATTATAAAGCTGAGGGAAATCATGGATGTTCTTTTGCACACGCATTGGTTGGGCACTGAAACTCTTTGCAGCAGAAAACTGAGGTACCTGCAAGGAAGATAAGACATGAGGGAAGGGCTGGAGCTGTGCCAGGGGAGGGTCAGGTTGGATCTCAGGAAAAGGTTCTTCCCCTCAGAGGGTGGTTGGCACTGCCCAGGCTCCCCAGGGCAGCGGGCACGGCCCCAAGGCTGCCAGAGCTCCAGGAGGGTTTGGATGATCCTCTGGGGCACAGGATGGGATTGTTGGGGTGTCCTGTGCAGAGCCAGGAGTTGGACTGGATGATCCTTGTGGATCCCTCCCAGCTCAGGATATTCTGTGAAGATAAGATCACTCACCTCTACAACCAGACTCAGGAAATCCTCAGAAAAACACCAGTTCTAAAACAATAATAAATAAGGTAAAAGGCAACAAAATAAGTGAGGCTACTTAGAGTAAACCTGCCAGAAGTTTGAGAAGTTGATTTAATGGGCTGTATTTTAAAGGGCACAGTTTAATCATAGTCATTTTTATGAAGGGAAAAAGCTTTGGTTCACTCCATTTGTTTCTGTCAAATCCACTGTACCTCTCCGTGGTGATGGAATAAATGGTATTTAGTGAAGCTGCTAAAGCAGCCCCGTGTATTGAATTAACCCCACGCCGTGCTCAGGAACACGTCAGATCCTGCTCCAGCAGAGCACGTCAAATCACTATAGATTTGGGGTTATTTCTTGCCTGCTCCAAAATCCAAAGTGCTCCATAAGAGCACTGGGCTGAGCAGTTGTTTTGTTACCTGAACAGCAGCACTGATGAGGGGGAAAAGGCACAGCGATGTGAGGTGACAGCACTGAAGTGCTTCCTGCCCTCTCTCTGGGCTTTAGTTTATGACACTGAACCTGCTGGACTGGGTCAGGGTTCTCCCCCCGTCCTCAGGGAGGGAAAGGACATGACCTTTAGTGCTTGGTTTAGATGGAGCTGATGATCTCAGTGAAGATCCAGCCAGCACTCAGGTCAGCACTGAGTTCTGAGGTCCCTCAGCTCCCACAGACACGAGTGACAGTGACAGAAACCACCACGTTCTGCAGAATCTCACCAGGAAAAGGGGAAGTACCACCTGTCCAAAATCAGCTCCAAATCAAACCACCATAAAGCAGGAAGGGGATATCTCCATCCAGAGTTCAGACACAACAGCTGCTGAATTGCATGTGGGAATATTTTAAAAGCATTATCCCTGTCTCCAGGAAGATCTTCCAGCTCTGATGTGCTATCCCAAGAGGGCATCACTATCATGAACCACAGCAAAGCTCCAAACTCTTTTTTCATGACATTCCTAAACTGTTTGCTCCACCCTGATTCATTTTAGGAAACCAATAAGACAGCTGTGAAAATACACCATGGAAAGCACTCTCACATTACAAACCTGCTGGCAGAATTTGCACTATTTTTTTCCCTCCCAAGGGAATAAAGATTGTTGTTTATCCCACTTTTCAGAAGGCCTATGAACCAAAATGTAACCTGCTCCCCATTCCCACCACTGGCATTGCTCAGTAGGTGTGGACTGATGGAACATTTTGGCTCGTGAATCGGCGAAGCAGCTGCCTCTGAAACATGTGTGGGCTACACTGAAGAGTTTTTCTTATTATGAAAGGGGTGTGGGTCCTTCCTTTCATGAAAAGGCTCATCATTGTCACTGTTCTCTTCAGCATCTACTGTCACCACCACTGCACTTGTCATCTGACAGCTCCCTGTCAGCAGGAGATAGCTCTGGGTCTGCAGAGCTCGGGTTCTCACCCCACTGCAGCACTGGGAACACTTAAAGCCAGTTTTTTTCCGGAATTGTGTATCCTAAAGGCAGGAAAACAACCAAGCTGCAGTTTGCTGGGCCTGTCAACACTGTTGTGTTTGTACACCCTCCCCACAGCTCTGGTGCTGCACTCAAACATCCCATGCCCTGGTGCTGCTGGCAGTGCCATCGTGCTGGGGGTGATTCCCACCCCAGCACTGCCCGGGGTTCAGTGACAGATCCCTCTGCTGCAGACATTGGCACCCTGGGATGTGGCACAGGAATCCCAGAACCTCCTGAGTTGGAAAGGACCCACAAGGATTCAGCAAAGCCCAACTCCTGGCCCTGCACAGGCCACCCCAACAATCCCACCCTGTTCCTGAGAGCATTGTCCAAACGCTCCCTGAGCCCTGGCAGCCTTGGGGCCGTGCCCACTGCCCTGGGAATCTGAATCTTCAGGACAAGTGGACACTACAGACATCCTGGAGCTGAATTTACAGTGTTGGAAATGATGCTTTGATGCTAAAGCTCCCTTTGAAGGGTTTCCTCACTTCCACTCATCCCAGCTGGCTGTGAGCACTCACTGTCCCAGTCCTTGCCCCTCTCACCTCTATTCCTGCACGGATACTTCACAGCAGCCCACGCTCATTCCTTCCTCTTGGTGCAGATGTGATGCCTGCAGCCTGGCCCTGCAGCTGGGAACCAAAGTTTGGAAATGGACTTACAACTTAACCAGGAACCCTGGAGAGCTACAGATTGTTTCTGCTGCCACCAGACTCCCCGTGTGCTTCTGGCAAAGGATCCAGGAACATCTCCCACTTATCTGCACTGAAACGCATCCTGGGATGGGCAGGATGGGAAGGGCTCTCTGTCACAGCACTAAGGCCCTTCCACTACTATTTTAGCCAGAAGCAGAGTGAGAGAAATGTTTGCCTGAAGTGCATGTATCCCTTAGGATGCCAAAAAATATGGGATGTTGTTTCTGAATCACAGAATCACAGAACATCCTGAATTGGAAGGGATCCACAAGGATCATCCAGTCCAACCCCTGGCCCTGCACAGGACACCCCAACAATCCCACCCTGTGCCTGAGATCATTGTCCAAACGCTCCCTGAGCTCTGATCAAGGTCTGATCCCTGTGTCATCTTGCAGGGATCCTGAGAATTTGGGGATTGGCTGCTGAGGTGGAAGAGATGCACTAGGGGTGCTCTGCTGCTTTGTCCCTAGGAAGGATTTCCATGTGTAAGTCTCTGTGGGAATGCTGCTGCTTTCCTCAGCATCCCATCCCAGCTGCTTCTGAAGTCCACAGAGGGCTGTGAGGGAGTGGAAGCAGTGACAGTGTGGCTCGTGCCTCTCAGGAGCCTTTCTGGAGGTTTCTTCCTTCCCCAGGAGTGATGTGCCAGACCAAACCACCCAGTACACAACCAGTGACTGCCTGGCACTCCAGAAGGAGCTGAAGCCTGGAGAATTCAGGCCACCCTGGGAGCCCTTCAGCTCATGCCTAGAGCTTTCTCATGCCGTTTTTCCATCATGAATATCTGTTGTGTAACAGCAGATGCTTTGCAGTTAATTTTTTTTTTTTTTTAAGGTAAGTCATATTTGAACGGAATCAAAAATAAGCAGGAGCTAAAATATCTGCAGTGCTGGGGCTGTGCCAAACACCCACAGATTCTGTACCCTGTACTCAAGCCTTGTCAAGTAGCTCAGCACATCTTTATTCTAATCATTTACTTTCACTTCATGCCTAACAGAGAATTGTCCTGATTACTCAAGCAAAGCACAGCAAGAAAAGCAGAGAAAACATTTGGTCAGCTTTGGGCTCCTGATGCTGCTGGTGGAGCTTGAGCTTCCACAGCCCCTTCCAGTGAAAGATTTCGGGGTGTGTGCAATGATCACGCAGCTCCTGACACTTCTTCCACTAAATCTTTTCACTCAGTGATCAGATAAGTCCAAGAAGAGAGGCAGCAAGAGCTGCTGAAGGTTACAGAATGACTTGAGCAGCTGAGAAAGGCCAGGGGGTTGTAACTCTTTGGGCAGTGCAATTCCAGACAGGGCTTTGAGTCTTCGACCATTTACTGTCACCACCCTGACCATGGACATCCTGGGGGGGACTAAGCAAGTGCTTTTCTTTTACACAGACAGCTCTGCACCTCTGCACAGACAGTGTTTGGTTATGTGATAAAATCACAGATTCATGGAATTTCTAAGGTTGGAAAAGACCTTCAAGCTCATCAAGTCCAACCATTGATTCAGCATCACCTCCATACCATGTGCTCAAGTGCCACATCCACTTGTTTTTGAACACTTCCAGGGATGGTGGCTCCACCACTGCCCTGGGCAGTCCATTCAAATGTTTTGCAACCCCTTCCATGAAAATATTTTCTCTAATAACTAATCTAAACCTCCCCTGGCACAACTTGAAGCTGTTTCCTCTTGTTGTGTCGAAGGCAAAGGCACTCAGGCCACATTATGAAAATGAGCTCTCTAGAACACTCATCTCACACACCCAAAGAAGCACAGAGGGAGATGGGCAGGCAGAGCCCCAGGGACCTAATGAGGGATACGGGGCCCCCAGCCCTGTCCTGCTCCTTGGCCACACCTGGAAAAGGAGCTGCAGCATCCTTGGCTGTTGGGTGAGGGGATTTGGAGACCTCACCACCAGCATCGGGTCCCTGCAGCCTTCTGCTCACATTCCCAGGGGACCAGCATCACCATGGGAACATTTCTGAAGTCGTTAGAAAGAGTTCAGAAATCACTGTGCTAATGAGAATGGGCACAGAGTGTGAGGAGACTCCATCTAATGAAATCAGGTCTTCAGGAAACTTAATCATTAACAGAGGCCTGTGTGTTGTGAAGAGCTGAAGGGACTCCTTCATTCCTGTCATCCAAACTGAGGCATCCACCAGTACTCCCTGGGCCATTTTCAGTGTGTAAAAACCAAACTGAACCAAAACCCCACATGGCTCCAGCACAGTGCTGTGACCAAGGATGGTCGGTGCACCTACAGCGAGGGTTGCTACACAGGACTTTGAGAAGGCATTAAAAGTAAGTCCTCTGGCAGAGCCAGGGGAAAAAGAAGATGGCAAATTAAAAAAAAAAGGTGGCAAAACCCCCCTAAAAGCCCCCAAGCAATGACAACAGCACCCTCCAGCTCTCAGCACAGCCACAGCCCTGGGGACGCCTGCTGTTGTAGCAGCAGGACCTGGTGCAGCTGAAGCTCTTTATTCCCCTTGGAGCTTCCTAATAATCTCTCTGCTGCAGTAACCACTCTAAACTCGTGAAAATATCAAAATGCAATACCTTCCTCCACTGCCTTTAATGCACTGGGGCATCAGCTCTTGTGCCCAGAGCAGCAGCTGGAGGGGAGAGACTGAACTTGGGTTTGCTCCTCTCCTGACCAAGAGCACATCAAAAATGTTCCCCTGGAGGAGGCTCTGCAAGTGGAGCTGCTCTTTGTATCCGCTCCAGTTTGGAATTCAGAATGTTTCTATCCTCAGTCTCCATGGCAGAAGGTCATAATACTTTTTCCAGCTCTCCTTTTGGAGCAAGGATCCCGCTCAGCAGCAACAGCCCCTCGCAGGGAACACCATCAACTTCTTGCTTGGGTTCTTTGCTTTTATAATTTTGTGCTGTTGGATAATTCTTTCTGTTTAAGATTTTAGCAGCAAGTTTAAGGAGACAGACATGAATCTTTTTACAAGAAAGACTTTTAAGAAAGAACTAACTAGCTAGTGGAGGCAGTGCAGCTCCAAGGATGGCAACAGCAGAGAGCAGAGGAGCCAACATTTTCAGAAGTGTTCTGTATTTACCTCTTCTCCTGATGTCAACACAGTGGGCAGAGTTTTTTCCCCAGGGTTAAGAATGAGTCTTGAGAATGCAGGTAGGAGACCAGGAGGGTCCAGAGCTCTGTAAGGATGAGCTAACACACACACTCTACAGGTTTATAAAAACTGACTGCATGCACAAAGTATATCAAGAGTTTGCCTTGATTTTCAAGCCCATATGGCACCAGGACACTTCTCCCAGAGGTGTAGAAACACTCATCCAGGGGCATTCTGGGCTCTCAGACTTAGCAGGAAGCTTTCAAGTTGAGCCTGAATACTGAGAGTCACTGTAAAGGGCATGAGGGAACAATAGCACAGAGGCAGCAAAGTTGGGCAAAGCATGAAACACAGTAAAAGTGAGTTTTAAGGACACGGAGATGGAAACAATCCAAGGGAACAATTTCTACCAAGTAACCTCCTTGTATGCAAAATGAAAAGAATACATCTTTTCTTTGCCACTTGCAGAACAAAGACACTTGCCTTGACCAGGTAATGTGTGAAGAGAGAATAATCACAATTTTTTTCACGTGGAGCTCAAACAGACCAGAAACACCCCAAGAGGTTTGTCCCAGTCAGAGTCAGGAGAAAGGCAGTAAAACAACTAACCCAGCCTGGTTTTCCTATAGATTCACTTTCCTCACTCCCCAGGTTACAGAATCCTGGAATGCTTTGGGTTGTAATGCTCACTCTTACAAGGGATGGGGATCATTCCCATTCCTGCCCAATGATATCCAGCATCCAGGTCTCTGGCAGAGGAAAGGAGAGCTGGCCTGGTTGTCCCTGCCAGCACCCCCCATCAGGATGCCCCGGGAATGCTGATTGCACCAAAACAAAGAACTCCAGGATAACGTGCCCGGCTCAAAGGTGGAGTTTGGAACCAAGGGAAAGGCAAGAGCAAGGCAAAGTCAAACAGGAAATTTCTAAACTCCTGGTGTCAGGGGAATCCTGAGGATTCCTGTGCTGCAGAGCACGGGCCTGGCCACCAGCAAAGGTCACTCTGAGCTGGTCAAGATGAGCCCTCACATCCAGAGAGCTGGAATTAGAACCCCACTATAACACTAATGTGGGCAGTGCCTGAAGCTCCTCTCTCCCACCTCTTGGGCTGTCCCACCCCCAGCAGCCACTTCCACACCCCTAATATCCAGTTAATGATTGACTCGTTAAGTGTTCCCGAGGCCACGTTGTTAATAAACCCACAAAGGAGTGTGACCTGGGAGGCAAAATTAACCTTGTAGTCCAGCTTTTGGAGCAATAACTTCAGGGGTTGTGCCCTGAAAAAGGTTTGGGTGAAGTAGATGAAAGGTTAAATCAAAGGTGAGAACAATTAAATTGGAAAAAAAAAAAATCACCAAATGAAATAATTCAAGAACTTAAAGGTAAGGTGGTCCTGAAAGGAAGAAGCCTGAAATAGTGCTTAAGAATTCAGATTTGAGCAGGAACTAGAATATTCCTGCAGGGAATAGGCTGTGATTTCAGTGTGTTCTGGTGGAATGTTGTGTCTGCTGCACATGGGCAATAAATAGAGGCTCCTGGTAGCTTGGTGGGATGATTTGATCAAGGCTGGATTTATTAGAACAGGGAAACTATGCAAATGTAAAGAACACCTCAGATTCTGAGAAACTCAGTGGTTTGCTGAGGCAGCAGGACAGTTGTCCTTTGCTGGAGAACACCAGGGAGACCCTGGCAGGAGGCACAAGGAGCCCAGGTTGGATTAGTGGGACAGAGGAGCTTCTCCAAGGGGCTCCTGGAGAGCCAGTTTTTGCTGGAGTTTGAAATATTTTTTTTTCAATTATTACTCTTTTTGAGCATAGGCAGGTCATTGTCACACCTTGGGGAATATCTGACCAGGTGGCTGGCTCCCAGAGTTTCTGGGGAGCCACAGAGCAGGGCAAAAGAGCTGGGCCCAAACCAACACAGAAAAGAACTAACCCAGGAAATTTAGGATTTAAAGACATTTTTTTTTTGTACAGCAAAAAGTTACACTTCAAAGTTTTTTAATGTCACCTTCCAAAAACCATTCCTGATGCAGGCCTTGAGCATTCCAATTATCATCCCTTACCTTATTCCTGCCTGGAAATGGCTTTTGGGGCCTTCCAGAGTGTCCGATTCAGTCAAGGGGAGTGGTTTTTGAACGACTTCCAGGAGAGCCATTAAAGTTCCTTCTTGGCTGCCTCCAAAACCTGCTGCAAGTTTCAGCTCTTGAGACCTGTGTGTGTGAACAGAAGAGGAGCCAGTTAAAGAGGAAAACATTCCTCAGATGTGCTTTGCAGCACAACAGCAGCAGAGCACTGAAGACACAGAAATCATTAATTCTCAGCATCCATTTGATGTGCAGCTATGGAAATAATATTTAAGACACTCAAGAAGCTTTAGGAAAAAAAAAATGAAGAAAAATAATAGCACCAGGAAAACCATTTCCAAACTGCAATATTTGAGAATGATCTCATATTAAAAAAAAAAAAAAAAGATTAAGTGCAGCAAAACGTGTAACTGGAAATAAGAGAAAGAGTGAAATGCCTTAAGATGTAGCAGTTTGAGGAATATAAGAACAGGTTTTGCCAAGAATTATTCACATACATCTGCACAACCCCCATCCATCTATTTTTACTTCTTTTGTGGGCCAATAAAGAGCTGTGTATTGTCAGTCCTAAAAATAAGACCGTAAGCTTTAAAAACCATTTGTATCACGGCACAGAAAACAATGATTTTGTTCAAACTACCCTTTTCTCAGCCATGTTAGACTGAGGGCACGGTGTAACTTTTTTTTTCCTCACCTTCACGAGGAACAAGAAAAAACACAGCAGTTAAAGGGTTGGATGGTCACAATCAAAGGCCACCTTCACCCAAACTCCCTGGATTTGCATCCTAAAACTCTTTTCTCCAGGGATTTTAGTTCTACCCTGCACCACACAGGTGCTTCAAGAGGTCACCCTGGGTGCTTCCATGGTCCCTGTTGGCCTCAAAAGCTCCAGGTGGAATCCTGGCTCTGTTCAAATAAATGGCAAAACTCCCTTGCCTTCAAAGCCACTTCCCACTGGAAATCCCAGAGTCACCTGAAGAAATGTCCATCTGCTTAATTGTTTGCCCTCCTTGTTGGTTACTGCCAGTGTTGCCTTCTCTGAATACCTAATGGGGGATTTGCTCCAGTTAATTAGTTAATTAGCTTTCAGAGCCTCTCCTGGAGATCAGGTAGGGGTACCTGAATGGGTCCATCTGACAGACTGGCTTCACAATGGCTTAGGAAAATAAATGTTCATTTCTTTCCTGACAAGCTTCAAAAATGACGGATATTTCTCCAAAGCAAGTTCTCAAACACGTTTACAACTGGCCATAAAAGCCCAGAGGTGATTTTCCCTGGGGGAGGGACAGGTCTTACCTGCCAAAGGCAGCCCCACGTGGCCGTGTGGGCCGTGTTTGAGCTGTCCTGCATCCACACTGCCTCTTTGATATTCCCTTTCAATGCAGGACAAATCCATAACCTGACAGATGCTGATGCTACACTCCCAAATCTCCGTATTTACAGGCTGGAGTGTTCCTGGTGTTGACAGAGCCCTTCTCCAGTGGCTGCCACCAGCCCAGTCGTTTATTCAGCCGGCACTGTTCAAACACAGGTTGTTTATTCAGTTGCCATTGACATTTCCTACAGTTTGTTTAATCCACAGCAGGGACCCTGACAGGTGAGAGGGGGCACATTAACCCCCGGGAGAGCTCCCCCAGCCCTTCCCACTTGTGGTTCTAACACAGGGAATAATTTTAGCACCATTCCCTTTCATTTTCCTCTCCGCTTAGACCACAGATTCCAAACCTTCTGGAGAGCTCACTTGCTATTAACAGCTGCAGAGCTGCTCCAGCCCTGGGAACAGCACAGGGAGGACATGGAGCTGCTGGAATGAGTCCAGAGGAGGCACCAAGATGGTCAGAGGGATGGAGCAGGAAAGGCTGAGAGAGTTGGGATTCTTCAGCCTGGAGAAGAGAAGCTTTGAGGTGACCTGATCGTGGACTCCCAGGAGCTGAAGAAGAAACACGGAGAGAGAGTGTTTACGAGTGACAGGAAAAGGGTTCAAACTGACAGAGAGTAGGTTTAGATTAGTTATCCGGAAGGAATTGTTCCCTGGGAGGGTGGGGAGGCCCTGGCACAGGTTGCCCAGAGAAGCTGTGGCTGCCCCTGGATCCCTGGAAGTGTCCAAGGCCAGGTTGGACGGGGCTTGGAGCAACCTGGGCTAGTGGAAGGTCTCCCTGCCCATGGCAGGGGGTGGCACTGGATGGTCTTTAAGGTCCCTTCCAACCCAAACCATCCTGATTCCACGATACCACGAGCCATACACTGACCTCAGCAGCAGCAACAAGAATAAAACCCCTGGATTGTGGCTCCGAGTGCTGAGCACTGTCGGGACAGTGCTGGGGGCAGGAGCTGCCAGTCTCAGGGGCATTTTGCCTTTAAGCCAACAGTCCCTTACATGTAGTAAAGGTTCTCCCCTTTTCCCTCGCTTCCCACTGGCTTTCCAGATGCTGTTTTGCTGCGTGTTCACCACGGGTCTGTCCAGTGCTGTAAAAAAGCCAAAGGTTTTCCCACCAGCCCCTGAGCAGCACTTGGAACGTCCCCGCTCCACGCTGGGCTGTGACAGC